GAGCTGACCAGTTCTGAGTACACTGAGTGTAAGCAGCATACAGAACACCATTAGCTGTTTCTGTTAAAGAATGAATCTCACATTTATTAAACCGTCCTGTTTCTTTAAGTTAAGTTTTCATGTTTTACTTGCATGTCTGACCCATCATCTTGTTGTGCCCTGTAGGCTTTCTTTTGGGCTTTGGGGAAGAAAACATTTTGCAGTTCTCCAGAAGCCTGATGCAAGAAAAGCTGCAGTGACACTTTTCCCCTCTGCTCGTTGTGTTGTCGTGTGCTGATACTCCTCAGCCTTGTCTGACTGACAACCTGTAGCTGTCTAGCTCTGTGCATATGTCACGTTTTGTGTGTGCAGCATCAAATGGTATAGCAGCTTACTATTAAGTGGAACATTTAGTTGTACTAATCTGCTATTGTGATCCAAATAAAGGAGATTTGGTTCTCATTTTGAACACTGAATTGGTTTCCTTCTGTTTTTTAACTGCTATCAGAAACTGGTATTGTATCTGGAGTCTAAATTAACTTTTTTGTGTTGCATACACAAGGCTCAGCCTGTGCTGAACTGAAATTCTGTCTTCCTACTTTGAAGCGTAATTTCTTCGCTCTGAATGGATGCTCATTCCTTCCCTTTTTCAAAAGCAACAGTCTCTTACGAATAGTTCTGTGCTGCATAACATACTTGTTATCTTTTTTCTGTTCAAAGTGAGACACACGGGGCAGAGTAGTACTCTTAATGATTATGAATCTGAGTGGTAAATAATTTTGATTTATTACAGGGTTTTGTAGAACTTGCAGTTTCGACAAGCATCTGGAACGCAGTCTTACTGAATGCCCTTCAGATACAAATAATGCATTTATCAAGCTATCTGTTAAAATTGGTTTTGGGTTTTCTTTTGCTGTTGTCTTCTACCTTGGAAAGTGTTCTTGCCTGCAAATAGCTGCTGTTTTTCTTCTTTTGCTAGTATTTTCAGCATGACTCATGTCCTTGGCTCTTATTTTCTGCTATTCTTATACCAATGAATGGCAGGCAGTGCTGCATCAGTGTATGCAGAGTGCCAGCTCTTGGAAATTTCAGCTTTGAGGTTTGGAGGGATGGGAGGTTCAGCATGACCCATAGTTTATGCCATTTGGATGTGTTCTTGTAAAACTGACAGCCCTATGCATTTTGTAAAATCCCTGGCATTAGTTCTGGTTTTGAATCTCAGTTCGCCCCCCAGAAGCACGTGTGGAGTCCCACAGTACAATATGCCTTACATCCTCATGGGTATAGTCGCGCTCCTTCAGACAGCTGTCTGTGTAAACAGCTGTCAGTTCTATACGTATGAAGAAAGGAAACTCTTCTGCTATTCAGCAGAAGCTCTTATAGCTGATTAATATTGCAGAACTTATTTGCCTTAAGAACACAGAACTCAAAGGAGCGATGTGCTTCCACTTGCATCTTCTCTAAGTTAATCTTGAGAGGAGGAATTCTTAAAGAAAAGTCTGCATTGAATAATTGTGAGGTTGCCATGTCTTTAAGAGAAAGTAAGTCAGTTTCTTAAATTACCGCTGCTTAAATATCAGTGTTACTTCAGGGAAGCTTGTGATCACAAGCATTTGAGTTGTCTTAAAAAAAACCCCACCAAAACCAAACAAACCCGTTTGCTTTTGTGATCAAGCCCTTCTGAAAAGTCTTTTGTTTGCTGTTGTTCATTTGATCTCTGATACTTCTCCTGGCTTTAGTTCTGTCACGCAGTCATCTAAAGCAAGTCTACATGACGCTTGATCACTACTGGTGCGGTTTCTTTGCAACTGTTTTAGAAATTCGTCTTCGTTTTGTGTTGCAAGGCAAAATGTGAAGGTTGCTTTAAGAGGTGATTGTAAAGGAGGAATGTACTTGCCACGTCCATGTCCATGTGGGATGCAGGAGAGGCTGCGAAGTCTCTGCATGATGTGTTAGAACTGATGAGAACGTATTTCTGTGGAAAGCAGTGTTGGATTTTTGCAGCTGTGTTTGGTGGTTGAGCTGTGTGCAGTCAGGACCAGACAGGGATGCTGGGGAGCAGTGTCTGCTGTCTGATAAAATATTACTGGGAAGGCATGGAATCACAGGCAGAATTACTTAGATCTAAAAGTGGAAGATATTGCACGGGATATTGGATAAATCTAACCCTCCATTAGGTATTTGAGGTTTTAAATAACTATCGTGTTTAGTTACATTTAGGTTCTGGTACAGGAGAGCTGTTAAAGCAAGGCATCCTCTTTTCTCCAGTCAGGCATGTGTTGATGCCATTACTTGGTTTTTTTACATAAAATGCAGCTTGCTTCTATATTGCAGTGGTAGAGCCTAGGCAAGCTGTGAAGTGCTTTTTCACAGAACACTTTGGGATGTCCTAGCATTTGATTTAGTGAGGGATTAAGGAAAATAAGGGAAGAAAAGCCCATTTTTGACTGTTAAATAAAAAGGATGCCATCTTTGACTGTAGAAGCCTCTGAGCCCTGATTATTTAACAGGAATTGTCTTTATCTGTTTGACCTGTTGAACTCTTTCCTACGCATCAGCTGTCGCTCTCTGCCGAGGAAAACACACTAATGCTGTGTGGACCTTCGGATTATGCTGGCACAGCTGTTTGTATACTTTGTTCTTATTCCGTATCGGAGCACTGAACTTGATCTCTGTCATCTGTGCTTCCTTGCTGCATGCACGTGTATGCAACAGAGGTGCTAAATTTTGCCCAGCCGAGACTGCAGGTTCTTCTGTCGCGTGGTCTGCAAGGGCCTGTCCCAGCTGCTGCCTCCCTGGGTAGGAGGAGCTGCTGCAGAGACCTGAAATGCTGCTTTGCAGTGTGTAGCTCCCAGACAGGAAATTCATGAATGTTCCTATATTAGTGCCCTTTAAGCAGGGATTGAATACTGTTTGAGACCATAATGGAGATTTTGGACTATTAATAAAGACTATCCTGTGTTAATGGGACTTCTGGCAGCTGTAATGCAGGACACTGCTGTCCAAGTTGTAGTAGTTAAGCTTCCCCACAAGGTTAAGAAGAATGAGACATCAGCTGGAACTGATACTAAATATATGCTGTGCTTTCATTGGGGTTACTTGAAGAGAGTGCATTATTTCCTTGAATTATCCTGTGTACCAGGATATGGCACCTGGAAACTTCTACTCTCTCTTCCCAGTCTTAAGGCTGTGCTGTGATAATTTGTGGAACAGCTGTGAGTAACTCAAGGAAAAAAAGGTGAGTATCTAGAAAATATTCAGTGGTTCTTTTCTACTACAGACATTTGTGAAACACTGCATCTTTCATGATTAGAAAAGCATCTTTTATTGTGTTGTCCTTGGATTGTTTATTGCAAACTGAGTCGCATTCTGGATAAGAATTTGCACTCAGATGTACAGGACAGAGTTAACCTTTTAACCGTTTTGGCAGCAGTTGACTTTTTTCCAAGTAAGGTTCTATATGACACCACCTTCCTTTTTTTGGACGGAGATGTCCACTCGTAACTGTAGCAGCTTGAACTTAACACCAGCTTAAAACTGGTTTCTCGATTTAACTTTTTGAGCTTAGCGAGATCATCAGGAAATCGGGCAAGTTCTTGCCTCTGTTACTTGGGAAAGTATTTTGGTATTCCTACATGTGGCCTTTGGTGGCTCCGTGTGGCTGCTGAAGGGCTCTGTATATCTGTCACCTGAAAACAGACTGCTTAAAAGAGCTTCCTTGGAAAACTGGTAATACTGTTAACACTGACCACTGTACATTTGTTGCTGAGTGGTACATGAGCACTGATTTAGGGAAACAAAACAAATAATCTCAACTAAGTGAAGTTTCTTCTGACCACATCAGAGTTCACTGTAGAAGGGAAAG